GATCCGTGACCTGGCAGGGAGCAAAGCCTGAGCAGCATCTGTCAGTAAGAGTGGGGGCAGAGAAAGGGCATGGATTCTGGAGAGTTGGGGGTGGGGGAGAAGAGAGAGAGACTGTGAGAAGTGGCGGGAGGGAAAGGAGCAAAGATTGTGGGCTATGGGTGCATGGGAAGGTGCAAAGACTGTGGAGAGCTGGGGGCAGGTGGCGGGGTGGCACAAAGGCTGCAGTGAGGACACGGTGGGGGGGCAGAGGGCCAGGGTGCCTCCTAGCCCCTACTTCCCAGCCACATGTCCCTGCCCTGCAGCTACTGCTTTCCCTACTATAGCAGTGCAGGGAGGTACATTTAAGACAATGCTTCAGTAATTAGATTCTATACCTGGAAAATGCTAATAAACGTATAAGCTTTCCATATACAGAATCGAATTATTAGGGGGTCATCTTAAATTCAGGGTCCTCTTGGATTCAAGTAAATGCTTGTGCGATTCAATGAGACAAGTCACAGTCATGATCTCAAGCAAAATTACAAATGGACCTCAGGTATACCTTGAGAGCACCATCCCCTGTGCCTGCCAGAGGGCGCACCTACACAAGACGCTGACTGCACAGTAACCAAATAATACTGCGCAGTAGCACATCACAGCTTAAGTGTTAATATGCTAATGATCAGCATTATTAGACTACTGCACAGTAGCATCACTTAAAAGATATTTGCTGGTGCTACTGGGCAGTAGCTCCACTTACTGTGCATTTATTTAGTACTTGTTTAAACAAGTACTAAATAAATGAGCAGTAACCACTGTACAGTAGTGTCTCGTATCGACATATCACATAGACGTGCCCAAGATGGCTGGGTGGAGAGAATGTGAGATAACACCATAAAAGTCCAGATAAGGAACTTTTTGGGTGGGCAAAGGTTACTAAAATGAGAAATGTATTTCTTTTCCTTACTCTCCTGTCATTAGGGATCTCCAGAATTTGCGCCAGAAGTGTGTGGTGCTGTGACTTCTTTAATCTTGGTTTTCCCCACACACCTCCCTACAGCTAATTGGTAGAGGAACCCCCTCACTCGCTGCCAACACCTGATGGCCGGGACATGAAAACTGTAGTTTTAAATTTGCTGTTTTTATTTCCCAGCCATCAGGTGCAGGCAGTGAGTGGTGAACAATGGGGCCCTCGCGCAAAATCATACCTATCATATAAAAAGGTGGAGGATATTGTTAAGAGTTCCTTTGACCCAGTCTAAATGCTATTTTGTCATGGTATAAGTATGTTGGGTTACAGGTATGATCTTTTATTGACACAGTTACACATGTACAACCTCTATTATGGACACAGTATACTAGTATAAAGGGTATGAATCCCATTCTTTACCATGCCCTGACACCATGGCTTAATTGCCTGGATTAAGCTGGGGGAAGCCATTAATCCATGCGGTCTTGGGCCATCCCCAGCCTGGAACATGGTCGGCTGTGGCAGGCAGCTGGAAGGCAGGAAGCAGCTGCATCAGGATCCACGCCGGTGGCGGGTGCATGCATACAACAAACCATGCTGGAGCTTCATGGATCCTGGTGCAGCCTGCCTGCCACAGCTGGCCCACAACCATGATCCAGCTGCTTGTGCCCCCAACCCTCCACCCAACCCTCTGCCATCTGCCCTCCCCCATCTCCGCTGTCTACCCTCCCCGGCCATCCACCCTCCCTGGCCCCATCCCCACCGTCCACCCTCTTCCTATCCTCCACCCTCACGTTCCAAGACTGCAGAGCTTTCTGTCCTTTTCTCTGGTTGCAGGTAAGGTATATTTATTTATTGATTTTTATTAATTTATTTTGCAGTGAGCCTGCCATTTTTTGCAGAGCCAGCTAGAATTCAGAGTTTCTGTGAAAAACACACAATTGCAAATTTGGTAGGTGCGTATTCATATTGCACTAGTACAGAAAACAGTTATTCAGGGTTCCAGTTTTCTCTACTATACAGATGTATACTAACACTTATCTAGTTTCAAGTGGCTCAAACAATGTTGTTTCCCTGTTGCTGAGAAACTATTCTAAAATTATCACATATGATTTTGAAAGCCTTTTGACATCCAGCATAAGCTTTTCTTGGCCCAATCTGATACCACTGAATTTAGCTTCCAGCTACTTCTTTGGCTCATTCTAAGCAACTTCTTTTTCACTCCATGCATTTAGGCCCCTCTGAAGACCAAATATCTTTTCCTTGAATGCATGTGGCTATTTCTCCTTGATTGAGGGAGGCACCTATGTGTTTTCTTTGGCTCCTTACAGATGTAGGCAGCTTTTACATTACTAGTTAGACATCTTTAACTTAATGATAAATATACAACTACTGAAGCCAACACCTTGCCAACTGCTTCATCTTGACAGAAACCAGCAGCACTCACATTGAACAACTTGTAGGCCTGGTGCCTTGTGTGTTACCTCATATATTCCAGGTTGACAGTATCTTTCTGATACCGATGTGCCAAAAACTGTATGCAGCATCCAGTAGCGTATTACAGAAACAAATGATTAAAAATACTCAGCAGCTCTGGGTGTACCTTTTCATCTACCATTAATGAGAAGCTGTCATAAGAAAAAGGAATTTGCTAATTGGATTTCATGGCAGGCAAGCTTGCTGCTCTTCATCTTGAGGGAACAAGTATTAAATTGCTAGGGAAGAACATAACCTGATATGCAATGTGACACCACTCTCAATTATAAATCAGGGTGATGAAGCTAGAACCAATCCTTCTGTAGCATAGAGGTTTAACAGCAGCTAACATATCTTGAGGCTGAAGTCACTGCAGGTACACAGCACAGCATATTCACCAAGTAAGAGGAAACATAAACTGAAGTACCAAGGGCGTGTGGAATTAATTCTTGTGCAGAACTGGGGGCTGAGCCTTTCTGCCTCCAAAAAAAGTAATTTAATTTATTGGTGGAAGTATTCTATATAACACTGTGTTGACTGCAAAAAAACATCATTTACATTACTACCTCAGTCCTGCAGAACAGAACACCATAATAAGCCTTAAAAACAACCCAGATATTATCACACAACAGTCTGATAAGGAGGAATGGTGTGCCACTGTTGTCACAGTCAAAACAGCATACATACAGGAAGCTGATACAACTTTCCAACACAGAGTTTTACACACCCCTGGCAGAAGCCCCACGGCATAATACTAGGAAGAACCAGATAAATTCTTACAGGATCTACCTCAGGAAACACAGGAGAGAATAACAGCTTCCACCTCCTGGGAACCCAGGCTGGGCAACTTTTACTGATTATTACCCAAGATCCACAGACCTGGGAAAGCCCTACTTTCTGGCATTGGTATTCTCCTGGTTTACATACAACCCCCAACCTCAAATGGCATCTCTCCAGCAACAGGCTACCTAACTCCCATTCCCACTGAGGCACCAGGCCTTGCAACAGACCAAGTTACAAGCGGTGTCCCCTCACCAGTAGAGACTAAATAGCAAGGGTTATATCAGCTGAGGATCACTCACTTACAATTCTATCATATATGCCACCACTTGCCCACAGTGCGCTTCTTCTGCCTATATTGGATAGGCAGGGCAATCCCTATGTGAAAGAATGAACAACAGTGATCTGGCACCAGCTGCAGAAAGACAAACAAGCCTGTGGCAGAATCTCCCTAGACACTCCATTGCTGACTGCAAGGTGGCTTTTCTTAGACAGCAAACCTTTAAAAGCCAATTTGAACAAGAACTTGCAGAACAGGAAATCATTCATAGACGGGTTTGTGTTAACTGTGATATAAACGGAGACTATAGAGTCTTATTCCACTACCTGCATTAGCTTTTGTGACTCCTTTATTCCTATGCTTGTTTGCTTCTTGCAGCACTGCTCCTCTCTTCTCTTCCTCCCCTTCTTTCTTTGTATTCAACTCTCTCTCCCCTTGTATATTGCTCCCTGCAGGTCCTTTCACAGGATGTGATGAAGTGAGCTGTAACCAAGCTTGTGCTATATATCTACTTTAGTTAACATATCACAGGGGTGGGCAAAGTCTGGCCTGCAGGCTGGATTGGGCCCATGGAGGACTCCATTTTGCAGCATTCCCTGCCCACATTGCTGCAGCCGGTTTTCATGGAGACCCCAACAGCGGCAGGACGCAGGTTTTCATGGAGACTGGCCCCAGCAGTGCTGGTAGGGTACACAGCTGGCCAGGATGCTGCTCTAGGGCTGGGATCTTACGGCGGTGACAGCGTGGTCTGGAATCAGGGCAGTGCTACGATCTACTGCCCGTGCACCCCAGGCAGGGGCATGCAAGCAGGGGATCACAGCTCTGCCCTGGCTCCAGACCACACTGTCACTGCTGCAAGATCCCAGCCCTGGCCCCACAGCAGCTCACCACCCAGCCACACTCCCTGCCAGCGCTGCTGGGGCTGGTCTTCATGGAAACCCTGGCCCCACATCATGGCGCTGCCACTGCTGGGGTCTCCACGGAAATCAGTTGCAGCAATGTGGGCAAGGGCTGCTGGGAAATGGAGTCTAGCCACCAGCCAGATCGACCATTTTGCCCACCCCTGGTCTATAAGGTGCACATCTATCCTGCCTTCTACTTAATATCATAGTAGCAGCTTGTTTACAAATGTTTGATCCTATCAGTCAAATAATGAGGCTCTCCCTTGTTTGCCAAAAGCAAACAGGTGCTTGACTTAACTTACTTCCATTGCTGGCCTCTGTTTTTTTCTGTATTACCATGATATGCTGGCTGGAATCACTGTAAAAATCATCTCTCTTCATTCTAGTGTCATGAATTCCAAAGCAAACCTACGCCTACACCTACCCTCCTCATAGCATGCTTACCCAGCAAGTTAGACCAATTACAAATGCCCTAAGGATTAGGTGGTATGACTCCTGATAATATGCATGACAAACAATGGTACAAAATGTCTCAAATTGTCCATGTCCCATAGATATGCCATTCAGGCATTGTCAGCAACACAGAGTTAGCTCAACAATATTTTAATCTTACCTGAAATCACAAGCTGTGGTAAGTTCTGCTCCTCCTCCCACAGCTTTTCCTCGAACTAATGCAACACTAATCAGAGGCAGCCTACACAAGAAAGAAAGATTTCTGTAAGCAAGGCATATACTTTTACTAACAATTTACAAATAATGAAAGGACTTGGGTGCAATATTTCTACACTGAGTAGTACTACAAATGCCCTCAAAGTATTAATTTATGTTGGTAAATAGAATAATACTGATAAATTAATTTCCACTACAGCATTTATATCATGCTGCAGCAGCAAGATAAACATCTAATGGGATCACTTTCATTAGTAGAGAAGTCTCCTGTTAAAGAAAAGTTTCTGCTAAAAATATATATATAAAATATTGCCACAGGATTAACTGTTTATCTAGCCTGTGTGCTCAGTGCCCTAGGGACAAAGCCAATTTTTATGCCATAATGTGTTTAAAATCTAAATTCAGACATAACATTATCAAAAGGTGGTTACAAACATCTGGATTGGTGGCTACAAGAGACAGAGGACACAGATTACCAAAATAAAGCCTTCTGAAAGACAAAATGTACACCTTGAAGGGGGTTCAAGTTGGTGTGCTTTTTGTAGAGGATACAAGACAACTAATGGGACATAAAGATAGTGAATTTGATTCACTTCTGCTTCCATTGGCAGAAGTTTGGCCTATGGGGAACCTGAAGCATAAAGTATACCTGAAGGAGGAAGCAGTGGATTCAACAGCACAAAAGAGAATCAAGAGTCACTGAGCACAGTACAGAAACCACTTTGTCCAGGATGAGGTGGTGGGCATGACTATGGAAGCTGGAAGATGCTTTGATTTATAAGTTTTCTAAGCAGCCTCTGCCAGAATGCTACCTATACTACCTCAGCCAGGAATGAATCTGCCCCTTCCTGGAGGGCAGAAATTGCTCCTCTAACTACAAGGACAGTAGTAATTGAAGTAATCTTGAGATCAGCCAAAACATCCTAAGAAAGTGACATAACTGGTACTGACCAGTTGTTTTGTCTACATAGCATGGGAATCTTATTTCCCTTTGTGCACTTAAACAGCAGCTTTCTACATGTGTATCTGGTTGGTTGGCCATGATTTAACACCATAGATATGTTAGCACTAACCAAGCGCCCAGCAAGAATGACAGGAAAGCATCGGGGATGGAGTGTCACCACCCACCATCCTGCGCTGCCGCCGCTCTGCATCTGGCCATGCACAACTCACCCCGCCACCTCGCTCTGCGCCTGGCCCCATGCGCCCCCGCAACATCCCAGACATACACCCAGCCACAGACCACACTCACCCAACTACCCAGCCAGATGCCACACCAACCCAGCCACATGCCACACCCACACCCAGCCACACCTACACACACCCAGCCACACACATGCCTCACTGCCCAGCAGCGGGACGCACATGGTGCCTCTGTCAAAACAGGGGCAGTGAGGTAGGGAGCAGAGGCTGAGCCCAGCACAAGCTACCTGTGCCCCGTGCACACACTGGGGAGCCACATGCCCCTGCTTGACACCCCAGCGCTGCGCCTCTGCAGGAGCTGCCGGGCTCCAAGTGTTCCATGGCCCAGCCCAGCTGGGGCCTGAATTCCCGTGCCTGTGCCCTGCCCGGCCATGGGAGCCCGGCAGCTTGTGCAGGAGCACAGCGTGGGGGAGCCAAGAAGGTGGCACGGGCTCCCCTCCCCTAGTTCCCTTATGGTGCGTGCAGTGCCGGGAACCACCTGCCCGCAGCCCTGGAGGAACCACCAGGCTCTGAGTGTCCCACGGCCCAGCCAGGCAAGGTGCACTCACAGGGAACGGGGCCCCAGCCACGCCGAGCCGTGGAACACTCAGGGGTGGCACAGGAGAGCCAAGGCGGTGTCACAGGCCTCCCTCCCCCAGCTCCCCTGCAGTTCACACAGTGGTGGGAGCCGCCCACCCCCGGCCCTGGAGAAGTTGCCGGGCTCCAATGCCCCCACAGCCTGGCTAGGCAGGGCACAGCCTGCCCTCCTGCTGGAATCAGCCCAGCACAGCCTCAGCCCCACTACCCCCCAACAGCTCTTCCACTGCTGCCAGCAGGCCACCGTGACCCCCACTGCCTGCCAGCCATTGTCAGGGGGAAGCAAGGTGCAGTGGCTCCCTGCCCCCGACCATGTCCAGCCACTCGCTTGAGCACCAAGTTGTACCCATACTGCCTGGGCCAGCTACTCACCACCTAGCCTCTGGGCAGGGTATGTGCAGTTGGCCCGGAGCGTTACAGACAGACAGACACACAGACAAGGCTTTTATTAGAGTGAGCATATGCAGTAGGCATTAGAATATATAGACATGCAAACTAAGCCTCAGCAGTAGAGGACACGCTGGCCAGGCATGTACATGCATTCCCAAGAATAAGCCTGGGAAAAAGAGAGAGAGAGAGCGAGAGAGAGCGAGAGAGCTAGAGACAGGAGGTTGTGGTAGCCTCCCATGCTTTAGCCCCAATAGCTGAACAGGGCATTTGCCCAGGAAGTGGGAGAGCCAGGTTCCAGGCTCCTTTTGAGGAGAGCAGGTCTGAACCTACACCTCTGTGACTGGCCAGTACCACAATGCCACAAAGTAGGCAATGCCCAAATCTTTCTCCAGGGCACATTTTGAAACTGAACCACCGCACCCTGCATTTACTAGTTAATGGATAACTTGGGTAAAGAGCACAACTGTGAGAAATTTTTTACCCCATTGGGAGTTAGCATCAAGGCTAGACCCCAAGGCAACAACCATCTCACTGAGCTATAAAGTCACTTGCTCTTTTCTTCCTGGCCCCTAATGGCTCCCTCTGTTGGCTACCAGGAGGACCAACTTCAAAAGGAGCACTAGAGAAGGGTTTACAATACTGCCTACCCTGTGAGATGGTAGTAGGAGCACTGTGCTAGGAAGCCAGAAATGCACAGGTTCAAATACACTCAAGGGAGGAGGTTGGCTTACATCACAGGTCTCCTATTTCTAGGCTACCCTAACTACTGAGTTACTGAGGGTAAAGCATGTCAAACACTTGTTAGCCATTAGTTTCTAACCAGCTACATTTCTGTGACAGAAACAGACTTACAGGTCCAGAATGCATGTGTATATAAAGCTGCGTACATGTCCAAGCAGTGCATAGCCTACAACCTCATGCTTATGCAACCACAGTGCAGGGTAACAATTTTGCAACCTGCACATGTTAGAAATACCAATTATAAAGCTAGAAAATTGCCACTTAGTTGCACAAAGGGAAACAGAATTCTACCCTAGATTGTCTCCTATTGCCAGAATGAATATAATTTGGGTTGATCAGCAGTTGATTGTAGGGCTGAACAAGAAGCCTAGAAAAGTAAGCCTCAGAATTCTCTGTCCAGGGCAGAGGGAATAAGAATCTACAAAAGTGGGAATTATTTTAAGTGCTTACTACTGCTTAGCAGCCAACACATAATCATAATCACAAGGCATGTGGGTGAAGCTAGCTGGAGAAGGACAATCTCATTCGAACCTGCTCCTGATGGAGATGCTGAGTCAAAACTAATCACACACACCACAGGTCTATGTTGCTCGTGGGAAGGTTACAGAACAATACAGAGCATGCCAATTAACCTGCAGCACCACTCGCTCCTATTAGAGGTGCACTGATACCATGGTCCTATCGGCACCAATAAAAGGAAAATTGACATTATCAGTGGTCGGCTTGTTTTGGCTGATATGGCCAATAATGTTGCC